TAGCATGTAAAACAAACTTCATGTGTAAATCCAACTTCATATATGATGAGAAAATTATTTCAAAATTAACTGTCAGTAAATGGTTGATTACAAACATATTTATCTCCAGAGAGTTGATTAAATTATCTTCACTTAGAAGTTTACTTAAAATAATATTGCCACATTACAAAATTCTATTTTAAGCTAAGGCTTTCTGTCTTTGAAATATGAATACTTCAAAGGTATAAGAGTAATATAATCTTAGAGATGAGTGCTCAGGAAAGAGGTAATTGAATTATTAAACCATACACTATTGAAGAAACTCACTATTGAAAATCAAAAACCTCAAAGTTTTCACTTAGGTCTTTTTAAAAGATTTTTAAAAATTACATGTATGAGTGTGTTTATGTCTGGGTATGTGCATGTGAGTGCAAGTGCCTGCTGAGGCCAGAGGTGTTGGATACTCTGGAACTAGAGTTCCAGGCAGTTGTGAGCCACTCACTGGAAACTGAACTCAGGTCCTCTCAAAGAGTAGCAAATACTCTAAACAGCTGAGTCATCTCTCCAGCCCTCCCCCAATTAAATTCTTAAACACATACTTTTATACAAAAACAGTAAGTAAATTTAAGACCTGCTCTTATCTGAATAATCATTCCAATGAAACAAAACTTTGCAGATTCTACCTTTTTTCTGTCTTTTTTTAATGATCCCAGTAAGATGCTTTGTTAATGACTCCACAATGTGCCTTTCATTTTTTATATCCCGAACAAAAGGATGATGCAGCATGCTTCCAGAAGTAGGACGAAATAGGAAATTTTTTACCATGCACTTTTCCATGAAATTGTGGAACTTGCGGGACCTGAAATAAATGAACCACAGTGAGCAGAGAGAATTTCTGGGCCTGCTGCACTCTACTCATCTTAGTAACATGCCACTTTGAAGGTCAAATATTCTGAAAGAGTTGTTGAAGTATAATCAGCTTTTAAAGTAGCAAACAATCTGTAGCTTGACAATAGACATTATATAACGTCTATTAAACCTCATTATATAATGTCTATTAAACCTCAAAATGAAGCTGGGCATGGTGGCACACACATTTAATCCCAGTGTTATGGAGGCAGAAACATGTAGATTTCTGAGATTGAGGCTAACCTGATGTATGTGGCTAGTTTAGGGCCACCTGGGGCTAACAGGGAGACCCTATTGAAACAAAACAGAACAGAACCTCATAAATAAAAAGTTGAGTCATCATAATTTTTTACTCAGATAATAGAAGTTTCAAGTTGGCATGTACATGGTAAAATGTATGTAATAATGTGGGAGCTAAAAGGTTAAGGTAGCTTATGTATTCGGGGAGAGAAGATTGGTCATAATCCACAAAAGTCATCCGCCGAAGCCCGAATGTTTTACTTACAGTGTTAGCCGCAGAGGCTTGGAAATTTTAGTTCAAAAGGAAGATGCTAATAACTGGGACAATATAGTCTTGTAAAATAGCACATACAAAAAGATGGACCCTAAACTCTTTAATGTACCAGAAGGGTTAAATTTAATTTAAAATTTAAAAAGTCAACAATCAATTAATAATTATTATTTTTAATAAGAGTAAACAAGAGCTAAACTAGATCAACAACCTTCAGAGAAAATAATTTCCAGTTTTCCTGTTCTGTAGCAATATAGAGGAAATCATCTAAGTTTGTGGATGCTTAAGTTAATGGGCCAATGGACAGAGCTGTACATCCCAATCACTGACTGCATTTCTATGCACAAAGAAAAGTATCACAAATACTGCCATTGGTTCATCTCATTACCGGAGAAAGAGCTGAAAATGTCCATTAGTGACAGCACAGTAAGATCCTCATCACAATTTAGGGAGGATATTACTTATTTCTAGTTAGCTCCTTAGTTCTTGATGAAAACTGGTCATTTAGACTTCCAAGTTAAGATAAAGGATTATAGGAAAGACAGTCCAACAAAAATGTTGAAGCTGGAAACTCCAAATTATTGAAAACTTTTCTTTACAAATATCAAATCAATGTATTTATGCTTCATCATTACCATCCACTGGATTTGACTGTGGGAGCAGAGTCCCGTAAAATAACGAACAGGGCCTCCAGCGGCTGAAGATTACATAGAGCTGTGAAGGGAAACAGATAAGTTTAGCAAGAGCAAAAATGGTAACTACAGAGCAAGCTGCTTATTTCAAAGAATAGTCTCAGTGTTCATTCACATATTCTATTGATTAGACGCTAAGGAATGAACAGATAAAAATGAATGTGCAGTAACTAAAGATAAAGTTCAATTTTAAACAAAACGTTCCAATATATCCGTTTTTCCATTCCTGGTTAAATGGCTATAAGCAAATATGATCGACAATATTAAAACTAATTTCCATAGTTCTGAGGAGAATGCCAAAATAGGAAATGTGGTTCAAATGAAGGTAAACTGACTTAGTGTATAGGCTTCATAAGGAGGAGTTGGTGTCCTTACCCTGTGTTTCTTCCAGCAGAAGTGTCAAACTTTCATACAACTTATGACTTTTACTATTATGGTGTTTGAATGGCTGCTAGCAATGTGTTGGCCTTGTTTTAAATGTCCCATATTGGTTAAATGCCTATATATAACCAAAAAGTATCCTGACATGCAAGAGTTCAGGTTTCTGTTGTTAAAAGCAACCTTTCCCTGATAATAAAGCATGCTTTCCCTGATTTCTCTATTTCTCTGGGAGAACCTGACTTATAAAAGATCAAAGGTAGATAATTTTCTTACCTATATCTTAGAGGACACCATCTGATAGCATTGGCTTGGAAAACTATCCCCTCTGAGTTGATAATTATCATAACCTAGAGAACTACTGCAGTTAAATTGATGGCAATCATTTTCATTCAAATTAATACTTCAGTCATTAAAGGATAGTGGTGAAAGAGTTTTAGCAGGGCAGATATCTAAAATTGCTTATGATTAAATTTGTGCCATTTCCATTATCTATATAGGCAAATCGACCTTATTTTCCCTCCTTGTGAGTTTAGAATCTCTGGGCCTTCTCTCATCTTTTAAATCTTATAGTTTTCACACTCTGAAAAACTTCTGAGTGTATTCTTCAGTCAATATTTTCCCTATGAGTTAAAATTATAAAATGAAAATATTACATTCTAAGCAAATCAAGGTACATCACACCATTAAAGAGAGGGACAAAGATGCATACAGAGAAGGATAAGGTATAAGAAAGATAAAAGTATGTTACTTTTTTCTTTTGGTCTTTTTGAGACAGGGTTTCCCTGTAACCCCAGCTGTCCTGGAACTCACTATGTAGACCAGGCTGGCCTTGAACTCACAGAGATCCTCCTGCCCCTGCCTCCCAAGTGCTGGGATTAAAGGCGTGCGCCACCACGCCCGGCTAAGTTACTTTTATATATCCAAATCTGTTGACTTTAACAGAAGCATTTGATAATTACTGACCACCATTTGTGGTTTGTCATATGTTGTGACACCTACGTAGCCACATAAAAGCTGACTTGTACAAAAGATAATATCACCTTCCAGACAGACAGATTGGTACAGTACGTTTAACCTTTAAAATAGGACAAGCATATCAAACATTGTACTTACGAGGCGCCCCTTCAGCCATTTCAATAGCAGTGATTCCCACAGACCAAACATCACTCTAAAAAAAAAAAAAAATGACGAAACACCTCTTAAAATGGCAAATTAATATTAAAAATCTCAAACACCTTTGGTCGTGATGGGGATGTCAGTTGTAGAGACATATTGTGGGTTTTCAATAATGAAGCTTCTTCATTATAGATTGAAATTACAAGAATCTATTATCTGAGTTTGAGACCAGCTAGCACCTTACTTAGTAAAGCACAGATTCGTACGGATTGAGGTTCAGTGCAAGGAAAATTCATCTTGTATGCATTTCTACTATCACTGTGCTTGCAATTCTTCTATAAAGAAATCCTAATATATAGATCGATAACGTGTGATTTTGAGTAAACAATTTAATTTTGTGTATCAATTTCCCTCAATGTAAAATTATTATTTATAATAACATCCACTTCACAGGATTAATATGTATGTGTATGTGTATATACACATACTTAATATATAAATATAATTTATGTATTAACATTGATATATTTAATAGTTTACAATTTAAGCATTAATATACAAATTATGCTATATAAATATATCTACCAATATTTACATATGAATTATTACCTAAATAAATATATATTTCAGAAGTTTCCAGACTCAATATGAAGCTCTTTTAAATAATTCTCACCACTATTAACTCTACTTGGTTTATCAAAGTGTGGAAAGGGGTCTGGTAAGATGGGTAAAGGTGCTTGCTGCCAAGCCTTATGACAAGAGTGAATCACCTGGACCCACATGGTGGAAGGAGAGAGCAGATATCTGAAACCTGTTCTTTGACATCCACAAGTGTGACATCATACACATTCAGAGGTACACACACACACAGTAAATAAATAAAATGCAATTTAAACAAAACCCGTGGAAAGGCCACAGTACTAGAAGCACACTGGCTGAATCCTAAATTAGTTCACTGAATTTTTGGAACCTCAGTTTATGAATCTCTTACTATGACTTTTGTGATATTCTAAGCTCAAAATTTCTTTCAGTTATGCTGAGATTTAAAAATAAAAATAAATAACACATGGGAAATTGCTTGGAATGCTTCCACATTTATACATATTTAAACAGTGTGCTCTACAGTAAACGACTTGTAGAACTTTGCATCCATAGTTGGTCATGGTTCCTAATGTAGTACTGAACATGCACTAGGCTCTTACAAATAATCATATTATAGAAAAGCAAAGGACATTTGAGGAAATGGAAAAGAGATGAAACTTAAATTCATCAGCTTCAAGTACTGAGTCCTGAGTTTCACAGAGAGACAGGAGTGAATTATTTGAAAGGCATATGATGTGGAGAGTGAGTGAGGTTTCTCTAATTTATAGCAAATTGACAGTTTTTTTTCTTTCCATATCCAGGTTTTTAAATGTATGTTTATATGTATATATATACATATGCATTCTACATTGAACTTTCATTTGAAATTTTAATAAATCACACAAATTTTTGTTAATTGATTTGTTCCTTTGATACATATTGTTTTGGAAATGATCCCTATGCCAAAGATTTTCTCCATTATACCATTAGTCAAATTATTGTTTTATATTCTTTAATTTGTGAGGATTAATAATTAGCTTTATGTCCATTTCTTATTTGTGTTACTGGTGATTAAAATTAGGGCCTCATGAATACTAGATACTAAGCTTTTTACCACTGACCTGTGCCCCAGCCTTATTTTTCATTCTTTAATTTTGATACAATGTCTTGTAAAGTTCCCTAGGCAGGTCTTAAACTCACTTCATAGTTTGAGAAAGCCTTGAATTTGTAATACTCCTGCCTCAGCCTATCAAGTAGTTGGGAATACAGTCTTGAGTTAGCAGGCCTGGATTCAATTTATTAAGTGAAAAAAGCCTCTGTCCTTGGAACTTAAATTTCCAAATAAAGCTGAGCAATATACATATATATATATATATATATATATATATATATGTGTGCATATGTGTGGGGGGGCAGAGATATATAAAGAGAGAGAGAGAGAGAGAGAGAGACATTGGCAGCAACAGGAACTAAGCATTCTCTCCCAAATTTGAAGACCTGCCAGCATTCGTCTACCTTATTAGAAAATATCTTATGTGTACTATAAACCACATGTAGGAATAGAGGGATAATTCTCATTAGATTCCATTTAAAAGGAAGATTTTTCTTTTTCTTTTCTTTTCTTTTTAATTTTTGGTCTTTTTGAGACAGGGTCTCCCTGTATCCCCAGCTGGGCTGGAACTCTCTATGTAGACTTGGCTGGCCTTGAATGCTTCGAGATCTGCCTGCCTCTGCCTCGGGAGTGCTGGGATTAAAGGCGTGTGCCATCACGCCCTGCTTCATTTTATGTTTTATCATTAGGATAACTTTAGTCAGGGCTGGAGAAGTAGCTCAATGGTCAAGAGCACTAGTTGCTCAATTCTGAGGACCAGAGTTTAGATATATTCAGCACCTAGGTCAGATGGATCACAAATGCCTGTAACTTCAGAACTAGGGAACCAGATGCCTTCTTCTGGTCTCCATGGGCACCCACAGATACAGAAACACATACACTCATATAGGTTCACATATACACAAATAAGCAAATAAATAAATCTTTAAAAAAATGAATGCACTTAAAATTCTTTTCAAATTGTGATCGTCACTCTCTGAATATTTATACTTACCCTGTAATCATAGGAGCTTCGTGGGTCCTCATCACAATTAATCACTTCAGGTGCCATCCAGTATGGTGTACCAATGAAGCTATTTCTCCGTCCATGAGTTCTGCTCACCTGGGCACTCACTCCAAAATCCACTACATATATCAAAATAATGAATCAGAAACACAAATCTCAATGTTATTTCTTTAACTTGGAAAGGCACTATAAAAATCAATGGATAACTGATTTTCTTTCTGGCCCAGCAAACTTTACTATGGAGCCCACTCCAGGAATACTGGGAAATGAACTTTTGCGGCTATTTATGTTGGAATGAGATCCAGCCATGCTGTTATAAATCTAAAGTATGTTTGGCTAAAGGTTTATCATGAATATTAAAGTTCCACTGGTATATGCTGAATCTCGGAAGTGATAACATATGTGGTATTTGGATCTGCCACCAAGCTAAAGGATAAATAGCACTATAAACCATATTTTAGTCATGTAAATCTTATTAAAATTTAGGAAGCCTCGCCCATGACATTGGAAATGCCAATCTCACTGATAAACAAAAGGAAGTTTTTTGCTATAATTGAAATGATTATACAGGTCTTCTGAATCAGGTGTAAGTATTGTCTGGTATATCTACATCCTAGCTTTATACTATAAAAGTTCAGCTTTTCATTCATCTGTGGGATACATTATAAGAAAATATTTAGTATGGTATCCTGAGAAACAGAAAAGGACTGAAGTAGACTGAAGTTGTTTATTCCAAAAAAAATAAAAGTTGAAATACGAAGTTGATTTTCTAATTTATAATGGTTTCTGGGAAGCTAGAAGATGGTTAGCAAAACTGACTGAAAAGCAGCTTGAAGAATTTAGTGGAAGAAAAGAAAAATGAAGCAATATTAATAGCTTGAGGCACTCTTTCAGAAAGGATCTAACAAAGACAAGAAATATTCCAGATATTTTGAAGATCACGGCTGCTGAACAATCTCATTATTTAGACATTTCAAAAATATGTGGATTAAATAATAGTTCAACACTTGCACTACCTAAGAGCAAATTTTAAGAGCCAAGAAATACCCATGAAGGCTATAAAGGAATACGTCATATATTTCTCAGGCCCACAAGTAGATAAAAGACTAGATGAAACAGTGATAAAGAGGCTTCAAATTGCAATGGGATAAAAAAGGTTATGATAAAAGATAGAGGTGAAAAGTGAATGATGGAGTATTTTTATTTTCATTAATCATACAAGGAACCGAGATACAGTGATTACTGATCAAACACAACTGCAATCTAACCATCTTCCCATCTCTTTCCATAGTATCACATTCTTTGACTATCATTGTGTTTGCCTTAAAATATTTTGTTCATATATATATAAATTTAGTATTATCTATGAAATCTAAATCAAACTGCATGAGGATTATGAGTAAAATAAGCCTGATTAAATTCTAATTTAACACCACTCAAGAGTAAAGTACATTAATTTTAGTGAAAGAGCTTTGAGAGAGGTATTTAAGTGGCTTTTTATTTTCTTTCTTTTTTTATATTACAAATGTTTGGGATTATCATCAACTTGACTCAGGGGTGGGGAATGTTGCCATATATGTGAACACAGGATATAGATTAATGGTGGACTACAAATCTTGTGTATTTGAATGTGAAATGTATATGACTCATGGATTTCAATGCAGTTTCTTAAAATTATGCTGCTAGCTTTGTAGATGTATGTAGCTTGTATCTAAAATACAAGAGAAAAGACTTTCTCAAAATTACTTTTTTTTCAAGAACAAACTATTGCTACTTCATTCTTCTTCCACAAATATTCACTAAATAGTTCCTCAAGTAATGACAAAAATCTCTACATATTTAGCAAGAAAGTGAAAAGTGTCTTATCACGTTAAGAGACATTATCAAAGAATTGATATAATTTGAAATAATGATTTTGATTCTCTATCGATGAGGCTTTCTGATGCTATATATATGGTTGACATAACTTATATGTTATTATTTTAAAATCAACCATCAGTATCTATCTTAAATATTAGTAAGCACAATACATTATTCCTTTCATACCTATGTGAAAAATTGTGTGATTATTTTCAAATAAATTATGCCACTCAATGCTGAAATACAAATGTAGTGATGTTCTGTTTATTTCTAATTCAGTTTGATTTGCCTATTGCAGCATTACTTCTGATCAACAAAATTTCTTTAAATATTCAAAGACAAATGCAAATAAGCAATTTATGTTTAAGTATTTTAAAGGATTACTGATATTCTTCAAAAAAATTCTCTTATAGGGCTGGAGAGATTATTCAGCCACTTAGAAGTTGGTATGTTGGTATGCACATGACAAAAAAGCAGTTTTCTTAGCTTTCTGCTCATCTAGAATATTGCAGGAATCAACTTACCCAGTTTGACTTCAGCATTGTGAGTCAGCAGCACATTTTGACCTTTGATATCCCGGTGAATTACTCGGTGTGAATGAAGGTGAGCTAAGCCCTGCAGATACATATATATTAAAGCCAAATAAATACATTTTTTTATCTTCTGGTAGCATTTTAAGTACTTTCAGAAACTTTGGTAAGAATAATGGCCCACTTGGTTTTTCAGACAAACTTTTTTCTTTAGGCTGGAATGACTTCAACCAGTTCCCAGAAATAACTACTTTTGGGTATAAGGAAAGGAAAATAAATCAGAACACTTATGAAAGAAAAAGAACACTAAATATTAATGTTTGTATAGACTGGGGCACTTCACCTTCTTTTATAAACTTTGCATTTCTGAATTGTCATGACAGTAGAGATCTGGACATCCTATTAAGTGTTTTTGCTCTATTCCTGATCCAAACATTTGTATAGTCCAAAATATTTTCTGGCGAGGCCTGTAGGTCTAGAATTTAAAGGAATATGGGAATTCATTTTAAATCATTTACAAATTGTGTTGGCTCCAGCACGTTCACCACTAAAACTACCGTGACCTGGCTAAAACCATGACATGGTATTCAGCGTTAAGCTGCAGTGCAATCACCGCAGACACAAGTCAGACATTAATAATAGAAGTAATAATCAATACAGCTAACATTGTATTGAGAAAAACAATCTGTAATTTGAAAGTGTAAATAAACATCTATTCTTTGCCAGGCATTTTGCTAAGACATTGGAGGTTGTGTTACCACTCTCCAGGAGACAGGAGGAGTGCCAGACTTAGGAAACTAAAGGTATTCCCTAAAGGTTATATAAATAGCACATGGTGAACTGGATTTTAAATTTAGTGTATCATTTGCACTCAAACATTTACATTTTATCAAAACAAATCCAAGAAAAAATGGGAAGAATGAGTCTTTTAGATAGACCCACTGAAGGGGTACTCCAATTGCCTCACCCTGCGTCCCTGCTCAGCATGGAAGAAGCCAGAGCGGTCGGTGTCCCTATTCCTTATTGGCAATTTGGGTAACCCCTTCAGAGGATGGCATGATAACTCCCTACAGATAGGAGTTATGCAATTTGGGAGTCTTTTAGATAGACCCATTGAAGGGGTACCCCAATTGCCTCACCCTGCGCCCCTGTTCAGCATGGAAGAAGCCAGAGTGGTCGGCGTCCCTATTTCTACTGGCGATTTGGGTAACCTCTTCAGAGGATGGTGTGATAAGAAGAGGAGGTAGGAATTGGCTAGGCAGTTAGGGTAAAAAGACTCCAAAGAAATGTAGCCAGTTGCTTGTCTGAAAGTCAAAATGTCCTTGGGCCTATTAGCAACATACTCTGTTCCAAGGCCAAAAATGTCAAAAGTATTTGGGAGCTTGTATCTAATCCTTTAAAGACTTTAGGGTTACCTCTTTGGGGGGCGATGTTGGAGGGGAGGAAGTGGGCATGGATTTGATCAAAAACTCTTATATATTATGTATGAAATTCTCAATAAAGTTTTTGTAAAAATTTTTAAAAAATGGGAAGAATGGCATTCTAACAGTGTTGGGGGTGCTGTTCGGTCACTTAATATCCTTTCTTGGTAACCCTAAGAACTTAAGCCTCAAAGAACTATTGAATTTGACAAAGAAGCTCGCTACTCTCATTCAAGTTGATGTTAGAAATAAAAAATGTGAGCCAATATTCAAAGATGGCATTTGCCTTCATTTTTAAGGCTGCAGATGGTTTGGGGCTATTCTATACAACACTGGCTTTCCCTGATTTACCCTCATTTTAATCTAGGATGATAGTGCTATACCTTTAAAAATGAATTCTAACATAATAATTAGCTCACAAGGTTATTCCTATGATCTAGTGAACCCAGTAGTTTGACTCTCACAGAGCCATTAAAGGGTATGATTTGGAAAGATTTTCTTGTGGTGTACCTTCATATTGAAGGGCGCCATCTAAACATTTGCTTTCACCAAAGCTTTTGGTTTTTTGCTTCCCTATTCATAGTTTATGTTTAGAATTATTAGTCATATATGCAGGATAAGGTTTTGTGCAATAATATCTTCTATCTTATTTTCAGGTTCATTGACCAGGAGAGAAGTATTATATGAATACTCACCTGAAGGATTTCTCGACAGATATAAGCAATCCAATCTTCTTTTAAACTTTGATTTCTTGTCATCCTCACTATATCAGTGACTGAGCCTGCTGCACACAACTCCATTACCATCTGCAGAATAGGCAGAAAAGTAGAAAAACAGAAAATTTAGACTAATAAAGTCAGAAAATGTGGAAGGAGGAAACCAGCAGGCGGGAATTAAGTTAATCCTTGGCTCACAGGTAGTGCTTTGAAATGCTTAGAAGGAAGAGCACTCAGTTTATGGAAAACAAAATGAACAAAAATCCTTGAAAAGAAGCTTCTGGGGGGCTCAAGTCTAAGTGATGACTTGAGAGAACAGTTTGACTAGAATTGTAGAAGATATGGAAAGTCTCAAAAGTGTTTATGGTTCATTGTTAAGATTAGATTTTGTTCACATTGCTTTATGTACATTTTCAAATTATAGGCTATTTTCCTCAAAATATTGACAAACAACTCCAAGGGGGAAGCTGTCATTTGAATTTCTATAGACTAATTTCTTTCAAACGGATTGCTGGTAAGAAAAGCCTATTTTACGGCTAATAACTTTAAGTGCCTCAGTTTCTCCTAAATATAATTTTGCTGTCAACTAGCGAATTTCCTTCCAGTTAGTATTAGGTAATTTGAAGGAGAATACAGCGATTATAATCAACTTAACATCCTTTTCTTTTAAGGAATGAAGTTTTAAACATTGCAGTCAGGAAAAACAACAACGTGTTTTTACTTATATGCAAGCTGTTACTATATATAAATGAAGGGAAAATGATAACCAATCATGAGTATCCAAAAGTCTATGTATTTCTTATCTGAATAGGATTATTTTCTTTTTAGAAATTACTCCCTAATTTATAGTTGTGTACCACTGTTAACACTGCATGTCTGATCTATATATAGTCGCACTAAATGAAAGATGAAACAAAATGAAACTAACCATGTAGTTAAACCACAGAAGGCTGGTTTTCACATGGGGAATTAAATGCTGATTATACTGAACAGATACAATGTTTGCTCTATGGTACTGGTGGAAAAGAGGCTCAATTTGAACCACAACAAACTTGAATTATAATTACTCACCTCAGATGGACCCAAAAAGACTTTGCTAATTTCAAAAAGAAGATTTCAATTACAAAAAGACAGGCATTCAAAATGATTCCTCTAGCTTTTATATTTTCTTTTTTGCATTTTAATTGAATTTTTGTGAATTTCACACAATATAGTTTCATGGCATTTAGATCCACTCCCCTTTCCCCACCTTCGCTCACTGCCTCCCACCAAATTTAATGAACTGTCTCATATATATGGAGTATGATTTGTGTCCCTTCAATGTCCCTCCGTGTGCAGTGCCTGTTATATATACTTTTAAATTGATAATTATTTCACAATTTACTGGAGTACTTTCAGAGTTATTTGGTCAATAAAGGGTTAATTGTCTCATGACATCTCTCACTCACATAAATAATTTATGCATTACATGCTTGCTTGTTCTTCGGATATCAGTCAAAGTCTGTCTTTAAGGAAGTGTTCCTAATGCCCAAGCTCACTTTAGATTCCTTTTTTTTTTCTATCTATATAAGACTATGTTATTTTGCATTCTTATTACACATACTTGGTTGACATCAGTCTTTCCTAAAAGACTGTAAGCCCCAATTTGTGAGGAGCATGTCTGTTCAACTTACTGCTGCATTTCCAGGGTCTAGTGTGAATGCCTGGCAAACAGGTATTTTTCAATGAATATATGTTGAATGACTGAAGTAACAGAGTACTAGTTATACATATCCAACAGTGGGACTCAACATTTCTAATAATTTTGCATACTGTGCAGAGGATAAATATTGAAGTTAATGTTTTATGAAAAAAATAGTATGTTCAAAAAAATTAAATCCAGTAATCATTAAACCTGTTGGGCAATATTTAATAAAACCTCAAGTAGAATTATGGAAAAATAGAGGATTGAAGATAATTGGGCATTTGAGAAAAAACAGCATTAATTTGAAGATGAGTAAATTTGGTGCTTTTGTAGTTCTTAAATTAGCTCATTAGCATTGTCCAAGACTTACCACAAAATACAAAATTCACACATTCCCAGACCTACTTAATTAAAAACTCTGTGAAAGAGATCAAGCATTCTGTGTTATACAAGGTTCTCCAGAAATTTATAATGCATGCTAAAGTTTGAGAACTACCTTTTCATTGTAAACCCTTATAAACATTTCTACTTTCTAAAATTCACTATGTAGAATGTAATTGATCTTTCATGTACAGTAGAAGATCCTGAAACTTGCTATCATTATTTTTAAAATAAAACTATTATTCCAGTTTATGTTGAAAATATTCTATTTTTAAGGATTTCATTGACTAAAACTCAATACCAAACATAGTGGAGAATGGTAAAAGTTCTAGTAACTAAGGTCACTTCCTAAAATTTATGTTTTGTTGATCTAGAAATTATAATATTCCACCTAAAATGTATGTGGACACTTATGTCAAGGGCTAATGGGACTTTATCTTCATTCATTCATTCATTCATTCATTCATTATTTACTAACCAGTCAGGCCACTTGGATACCAGCAAAGGATAGAAGCAGCAAAGCTGTATTTGAAAATATTAATGTTAATGCCAGTGTTTGACCCTCTTCTAGTCCATCCAAATGCTCCTTGTCAAATATATAGGTTACTTTATTTCATCTTTTATCATTCCTGTCTCCAGGATTCAGAATACATTTTGCCATACTATCTTGAAAAGTTGAGGGCTTAAGTTTTCTAGCAGTTACAAAAAAGTGATGCCTCAGCTCTTAAAAATGTACAACCTTAGGTAAACAATTATTTACAAAAATAAAATAAAATATACAAAATAAAATAATAAAACAAATTTTATTATAATAAAATAAATAAATAATAAATAAAATTTTATTTTATGGCCAGGGGGATTCAGCTTGAAAAATGCACCGTAGAACGACACAATGTTTTTGTGGAAAGAGTACTTCCTCAGCAGATTGAGTTCAGTCCTGAGATCCTCTTCCTCATCCTATGGAATAAGAACAGACAGCAAAGCTTGCATTCACACTCACATTTTTTTATAAACCCCAGGCCCACCTGCCTGTCACCACACACAGTGGGGTAGGACCTCCCATATCAATTAGCAATCAAGAACGTGTCCTAAAACATATGGCCTCAGGCCAATCCAATGGAGGTAATACCTCAACTGTGGTTTTGTCTTCTCTGGTATGTCAAGTTGACAACTGAAGCTACAACAGGGCCTATTTGTAGATTAAAAGGCAGAGTAATGAGCTTTGTGAAAATAGTTTTCATTTATAGCATTTTCTTCCCAGAATTGGGAAGAACTTTATATTTCATCTCATTTAGTCCTAGTAATATTCTATGAAGACAGGAAATTGTTGCCATTAGGTACAGTACTCTTTAAAGTAAATGGAACCTTGGGAAGCAGAAGTACATTTCCTAATATGGGAAATCAATGGTAAAAAAAAAAAAGAGAAGTACTGTAATACCCTGAGTAAGTGCTCTTTTCTGGCTGCTGTCACATTATCTTCTTATAGAGGTGTCCCTTGAAACTACACATTCTATCTCAATGATTTAGTCTAATCAGGTGGCTTCAGTTATCACTAAATCCAAGTTTTCAAAAACAATACCTCAACTCCTGACCATATCACTTACCCTGCCTAAGTGATCTAAAAAAGTCTTCCATCTGAAATGAATAAGTAACTACATATATCAACTCAGATACCACCTTCCTTCTTTTTCACTTTCTATGACCCAGCAGGAAAACTGAACAATTACTTTTTATATTTAGCTATATTGTCACTATGTTTGAAAATACTCATGAAGTAAATAAACCAATGCACTATGCTCTACAGTGTTTCCACATTTATTTGATTTTTGCTGATAAATTAATTTTCTCTCTCGAAAATTCCCAGTATGTATACAATATCTTATTTTTAGAAGTCTGAAATCTCAGAGAAATAGCTGGCAGCTATAGAACTCTCTTTGGCATTTTCCTTTAGATAGTCCAATGGATTTACCTATAAATATTCAGCTATTTGGAGAAAGTGGATGGAGTCTGATTTGTCAATCCACATGTGAGAATTGCAAAGAAGTTCAGGTTCTGGCCTCTCAGAGAAACTCAGTAAGTTCCTTTCAAATTCCTTTATTCAGGTTTTAAAGAAAGTTAAAAGTCAAAGTTAGTCATGTGGTTTTCATTTTTGCTGTGTAAGACCCTTAAACTTCCATCTGTTCCTATGATGTAACTGTCTCCTGAAAGGAAATAATGCCTGGCTCAGTATAGAAATATAGTACTGAGAGTTCTATATGTTTCTATGTGTTCTCTTGGTTATATTCTGACTTGCAGGGTCTACTGGGAGCAGTATCATGTACTCATAACATTTCAATAATACAAATGAGATGTTGTGAAGCTAAGAATACAATGAACAGGTTAAAGAAAACCAGAGTCAAGTCTAAGACATTTGACCTGTTTGGATGTCTGGTATCATGGATACAGATTCTGTTTCTTTCTGGATTACAAAGCTTATGTCACGAAACAAGAAGAAAAGAATGACACGAGCATAGGCAGCCACAGAGTAGCATTTCTGGAGAAACTTTGCCTAGTAGGAACTTGAAGCCTTGAACGGCAAAAATTCTATTTTCCAAGTATTTTTTGGCTATTTAGTAGTAAACTTGGAATTTGACCCTTCACATTATTACCATTTTCATAGACTCCTGTAGCAAAGGGAAGTATATATAAGTTATACACATTTTAGCCCAAAAGGTTCAAGATATTTAGAGATGCTAATTGGCTGATTAGCTAGAAATGATGCTTCTTACTAGACCATAATCACAGAATTCAAAATCCCTAATTAAAAAAAAAAAAAAAAAACTTCCAAGAGTAGGTTTCCCATATAAATGCAAACGCACCCAAAACAAATAAATGAAGATCAGATATGTTTAGAAAGCATTAGTGTGTTTGCCACTCTCAATTAACAGGAAGTTAAGCTTGTAAGAAACACACAAGTACAAAATATCCATCAGGCCAAGTGGGTAATTTAAAACTCTCACACATCTCTAAGAAATATAATGCTACAGCATTTTCTGGATCAGTGCCAAGTGATCCTGTACTGGCCCACATACCCTGGCTTTTGTCAAGAATAGGCAGCTCAAGGATGCCAGAATTCACTCTGTAAATTCATCCAGTTCTACAATCAAAATCATTTTATATGGAAAAAAATGAGAAAGAATTTTTTATTAATATAAACATTTGAGGAAATCAGAATTGACCAAATAATTATATTTTCATTTCTTACATTTTGTGTATTTTTATCTAATAGTCAGTCATATCCTCTTCCTCTGAATATTTTTGCTCTCAAGATACATTATAAACAAAAAAGGAGACTGCTGTATAGCAGATAAATCATGAAGGTATATGGCATGAATGTCTTTGTGCTAATAGAGAGGGTTATTTTTAGTGTAAATGATACTATATTTATTAAATTAAAAAAGGCTGGAAGTATTTGAATCTCATTTGGTTGACTTCAAGGGAGAAAACTAGGAAAATTTTATCAAAGAATTATACTGATGAGCAGTAATTTTTCTTTTAGGCTCATGTAATATTTTGACAGAAAACCAACATTCATTGAAAAAGACAATTCTTGGGGCTAGAGAGGTGTCTCAGTGGTTAAGAGCACTGGCTGCTCTTGCAAAGGCTCCAAGTTCAATTCCAGGCGCCCACACGGTGGTAATAACCGTTCATAATTCCAGTTCTGGGAAATCTGATGTCCTCTCTGACCCCTGCAGTCACTGCATAACGTGGATACACTTACACATATGCAGGCAATACACTCATACATACAAAATAAAAATAATAAATAATAAATTTTTCAAAAAAGAAAAAGACAAATTCTCTATGCACTTATTCTAAAAGAAGTGATTGTTGAGATCAGAGATCTCTCAAAAAAGTCTGCAAGGAAAAAATATTTCCTACTTCTTTATGTGTTCAAGTATAGGATGGGTACCCTGTTGGCTTTTTGCTATTAGCTCTACAATAAAAATGGAAGCTATAATTTGGCCTATACACAATGACAATGTTCATGACTATCATAATGGGAGAAAAGCTATTCGGCCTAGATGAGGTATAGAAGACATATAAAGAACTTGGCTAATGCCATTTGTTTGTGTTCCAGGCAATTCTTCTGTAGCCAACCAACGAGAGGGATAGATACTCTGTAGACAACTAATTTTTCCTCTGCAGCCAGCAATTTACCACTCAAAGGAGAATTTCTTGTAGGCCTTCCTCTTTGACAGATGCTAATTTTCAAATATGATGGTGAATCTATGTAAATAGTAGAATACTTAGATAATCATTTCCAAGTAGGAGCATTTTAGAGGTGGCCTCCAGGTAAGGACACAATGGAAAAGGATGAGTTTAAAGCTAACAATTAAAATAAAGACTTTTGGGGGTGCTAATGAAGACTTTTAGTACTCACGCTGTATCTCCATCCAACAGACTTTTGATATTTATTTACTCTCACCCGCCTTCCTATTTCAGGCATAGAAGTCTGAAAAACCAAGAAAAAAACGTTATCAAACTCACTAGTACATTTTGAGAATCATTTCTTCAGAAGTATTTTGTATTCCTTTAGCACTAAGTCAAAGATAGAGATAACACCAATTCCTTTTTGCTTTCCACTAATAGTTTTAATCTAATAAAGTTCTCAAATTGGTTTCTAATGATCTACACGAATTTGTCACTCAGTTCATGACAGTGGATATAAATGGTGTGTTAATGGGAAAATTATAATTTTGCAGTAGTAGAGTGTCATTTTCTTCTTACATATTCAGGCAGTTAATATTACGCATCTATGGGCTGAACATGATTTTTTTTTTTTGTCTTTTTGAGACAGGGTCGCCCTGTCGCTCCAGCTGTCCTGGAACTCACTATGTAGACCAGGGTGGCCTTGAACTCACAGAGATCCCTTGCATCTCACGTTGGTTTGTGACATCTGACATTACTGGCAAGCCAAAAAGAACATTATATGCAAAAGTAGTTCTATAAATCTATATAGGTTTTTCAACACTTTAGGATATAATAAAATAAGATTTCTTTATGTTTCCTATGCCCATATTAATATTATTTTGAGAAAGTAAGGTATCATGTTAAAGAAAGAGGACAGGAGTAAGTCCTTAGCAGCTTATTTGACAATATATTATGAACTGGGATATAATTTTATGAATTTTAGCAGAAAACTGCCAACTAAATTGTCAGTTTTGCTCATCTGTCAGAAAATACATGAAAAATGTGTAGCTTTGCCAAAATTTTTCCTTCTATCAGTGAGAAATGGCCTCAATTCTCAGAAGAAATTATTGGATGGAGAAAATATGATGGACAACAGCACTATTAACACAATAGTAAAGGAAACAGCTTTTTGCTATCCTTTACAATAGACAATAAGCTGAATTAGACAAGAATATGGATATTTTCTTCATTGTTTTAGCATATCAAGCATACTCAACTTATGGTGTATTTTTAATGTGGAACTATAACAAAACAGTATGTGTAATCCAGTAATAGGTATGAATATGATATAATTAAAATGAACCTAGATTAAGATAATAATATATAACATCATAATGTAAAAACAATATTTTCAGAAGTGTTCATCCTGTTTACACAGTGCACGAAAAGAACGGAACACAGTATCATTACCTTACGGGCATTCATTACTTTAACAGCTGTAAATGCACCAGTCTTTTCATGAAGTCCCTGAAACATTAGGATAACAATAAATGTCAAATGCTTGCTACTTTTCCAGCTACCAAGAAGGAAATGAAATAAAACATATTAAAATTATATAAAGACAAGGATACAGCATATTATAAAATACATTATATAAGGTATATATACAGTGAACAGAAGCATTAGGTTAGCAACATTTAAAGAAATCCAACTCATTTCACTAAAAAATGAAACATGTTTATTAGATCTTTATGTTTCTGTTTAACAGTGAACATAATTGATCATTTACTGCTTACTTAATGTAGTTAATATTATAGGTTTGTATGGTACCAAAGCAGATGAAAGTGAAAATTTTCAGTTGAAGATAGCAAAACAGATATTTGGCTAAACATGTTTACAACTATATTCATGTGGCACAGTTCAAAGATATCTTCCTACTAGTTGTTTCTTCATACACATAATTTTCTCCATAATGATCACTGGTAAGAGTGACTCATAATTAATTCAACAGGCTCTAAACTTCTTAGTATGTCTTGAATCACTGGAACCAAAACCTTATGAAAGAATTAGTTCTGGAAGATTTTTGTTCTTATTGGATGCATGTTGATTTTTAAGAATGTAGTCTTACTCTAAAAGCAAATTACAAACTTGCAACAATTTTAAAGTGCATATAGGTTTTTAATCAGATCTTATTTTGTGACTGCTAATTTTTAAAAATATTTCAAGCTGTGGTAATAGAATATTGTCAATCCAGTGTTCCTATGAGCAAGTTAAGTATAATGGCTTACAGAATGGCTCTCCAGCAGAAGATGATTCTTGGCCTATAATGGATTGAATATTACTCTCCCCAAATCGAAGTTTGCCTTGAATTCCATATTGTGACCTAGTTTGGACATACCTGCATTCCTCTGCAGGAACAATAAATTATAATTTTCCTTTCTTTGATTCTAAGAGGTAATTTATGTATCAAATTGTTGTTCAATCAAATTAATATTCTGTGTAACACAAGGTGTAGCACAGTAGGGAATATTAGTCATAAATGATCTGCTTTGACTGACAGTAAAATTTGGAAAGTTTGAAAAATCTGAAATCCACAGCCATCATGCTTGTGATGCACATGAGTGAGGTAATGTCATTGAATGGTGCTACTCAGGGATAAAGACATCGATTTGTTTCTACCTTTGCTATCTCTGATTGATTCTCATTTGAAAATTGCACAAAATGAAACTGATTCTCATATGAATATTGTACGAAACAATGTCAATTATATATCCTAATGTGGACTTTCAAAAATGTAATCGCTAGTCCTAAAATGGAAACAGACTCTTGAAACTGTGTAATGGGTTAAGACCTAGCCATTATACAAGTTTCCATAAAATTCTAATATATTAAAAAATACATAATTCTAAATCGCTTGTGTTAGAGTAGCATTTCAGAGTTCTCCCTTGAACACTGGTTTTGTTTAATATATATTTTGAAATCATTTTAAAGTATGAGAATAAGTTCAACAATACTGCACAGTTCCTATGTATTTTTATTCATCTTTCTTTAACGCTAGCATATTATATGACTACTGTAAAATTATCAAAAGAGGAAATTAGTATTGGAATAATACTTTAAAATAAATTACAGTTTATTATTATTTTATTGGTGAACCATTTTGTATGATGTGCCTCAATTGTGTTTTGGCTGATGCTTTCTTGTGATTACTCTGAGGGTATACCTTTGAGGTAAAAGAGCACAGAAATTAATACCCCCTTTTTCTCATCATGACAGAGAAAACAGTATCACTACAACTTATCAGTTGTGATGTTTTAACCTTGGTCACTTAGTCAAAGTAATGTCTAGTATCAATTCACAGTTTTTCCCTGTTATACTGTATTCATTGGAAGCAATTAACAGTATTCAAGAAGAATGCTATTTTTGACCCGCTATTTAGAGAATCTAGAAGGTACTTTGAGATAAACTAATTGTTCAGTAGTGCCATCTTGTGGTTTGTGGATGATATAAAAGTGATTTCTGATAATAGCTGAAGACCATTTATCCTGAACAGATCGCAAGACCTGTAATGTGGGTTTTAACATGTGTCTTTTTTTTTTCAGGTACAGTGTGTCTTTTGAGAAGTTAAGATGCCACTTACTGCAAACTCGCACACAAAGGCTAGGAAAGGAGATAGGTGTTGGATTATAAAATAATCAGAATTGTCATTGGCTCTAGTGAATATTGTAGATGAAAATAATTTGGATTTTATTGTCTATTTTAATCTATAGCAATGCCAGTAACATACAGGAACTGTTACCTCTACTGGATGAATAATTCTTTCTTAAATCACAAAATACTTAAAAGTGTGATGACAGAAAACTGGAAAGAAAAGCAGTTTGAAGTCACACATTTTTAGAGAAAAGAATACAAATACTCGTTATTCACATAAATTCCTGAATCACTTGTAGAGTGTGCTTAAGGGGTTAAAACAGAATGAATATAGGCTGCCATCAGAAAAATATAAATAAGGCCAAAATAACACATGAATGCTCCCATAACAAACTCTTTTCTGGCATTGCATACCAAAAATACAGTAATTAGGATGACCATGTATTATTTTCACAGGTCTGTTTTAAATAACTCAGGAGAGAACAAGAATTCCTCAATCTGATTTCAATTTGGCATAGATTTAGGTTCTTAATTAATTCAGGAAATCAAATAAGCAGCATTTTGTAGTGTGCCTCTCCCAGGAAAAGCAGCTAGTTTCTCTGCTGCTGCTCTTCACTAGCTTGAAGTATCAACATTCTGAATATTTCTTAACAGAAAACCCTACATACCCCAGAATTCAAGACAGTTATCATACATAAAAGTATGCATATATAATAAGCATCTATACCATAATGATACAAACAAAATATTTTCTATAAATTAAAAACTATAATTTTGATTATAAGCATATAATTTTATGTAATAATTAATAATTATAT